ATACTACACACACACACACACACACACACACACACACACACACACACACACACACACACACACATACACGTACATGCATAGGTATATGCATAGGCAATTACAATTTTGCAATTGCAATTACAAATAATATGAGAAATAATTATTTAAACTCGTTAATAAGTATTAATTATTGTTAATCATATTTAATTTATATAACTTTTTAGCTATTTACTCTTTGATTACTTATCTTGGTTAACGGGTGAGCAATTAAATTTTTTATATAAATAATATTAAAGTAGAATTATTATAAGGTAACATTACTCGCCGTTTTGCGTTTCCGATAATTCATAAATTAATTATGAGGTCTAAGATAATGCGAAATGTTATGTTGTGATAGATTTGTGTACGTATATAATAATAATAACTTATCGCTGATACGTATACATTCGCGTAATAATACCTCGCGAAGAAATCCTCGATGCATATGAGGTCAGTGCACAACCAGTCTCTGCGAGCACACCATGTGCTTCCTCTTTCTCATTTATCTTCTCTTATCGACCTACGTCGCGGATGTTTTTACGGAGGACGCCGACTGTCAGATTTACAACCACCTGTATGTCTGTTTCGAGAACGGTGATTTTCTTCACAGCGTCGCTTTCGAGGACGTCAACGCTGTTCAGACGATCGAGGATATTGAGTTGCATCTGGAGAACCTCGGGATCGTTAACATCACTGAAAACGCCTTCGCCGAGGTCAGCAACTCGTCTGCTCTCTATGTCCGCGACAATCGATTATCGAATATTGGCCGGTATTATTTCGGCATTCTCGACCAACTTACTTACTTGGACCTGAGAAACAATACGATCATTAACGTGGAAGAGGGTGCTTTTGCGAGTTTAAGCAATCTGGAGACTCTACTATTGGATCATAACAACATCTCGGATTTGCGACCCGGTATGTGGAAGGGTCTTTCAGAGTTGCATGAGCTCTATATCACCAACAATCAACTCACATTGAAGAGGAACATGTTCAGAGGACTCAGACAACTGGAAACTCTCGTCTTGGACTCGAACGATATACCAGAGATACCAATCGGCACATTCAACGGACTGTCGCATATAGACCTTCTCTATCTGTCGCACAACAAGATCTCAATCTTGCACCCCGACGTGTTCCGCGGTCTCAGCGAGATAAACGAACTCGACTTGGGCAGAAATCGGCTGAGAACGATTCCCGCCAATGTATTTCGGCACATGAAGTCGCTGAACTCGCTCTGGCTGAACGGCAATCAGTTAACAGTGTTGAAGTCTGACACCTTCCAAGGCTTGGATAATTTACTGTTCCTGTTTTTGAACAACAACGACCTCCGTTACGTGGACATGGCGGCATTTGCGAAAATGAAAAATATAACTGTAGATCCCGGCTTTAGAATACACGGCTCGTTAGTGGATGATTTTGGAAAAGTACACGGCCAATATCAGTGCAGTAGCGTGGCGTATCAGCTACCATATAATTGTACAGAGATTGATTCATATACTAGAGGAATTGATTCGTATATCAGCTAGAATTCGTAAGCGAGATGTTTTTATATTCACAAACATGCGTCCGAAAAAATAAAAAAATTTTAAATTACATTTCACCCCGCCGTATATATAAAAAATATTTATATATATTTTGTGATTTTAAAATTTACTTTAATATCCAATGATTTAATAAATTTCAAAGATTTATAAATATGGTTATGATTTTTTTATATAATTTACAAAAAAAATAATTAAATAAATAAAAAAAGTATAATGTTTGGAAAAATATTTTTTTTAATATACATTCACAAAAGTATATATATTATTTTTTACATTTATTATTTACTTAAATTTGTCATTAACGATTTTTGGAATTTTTCAGAAGTTTTTAGAAGTTACGGTCAAGACAATCCTCCTCATCCTTGCTATTGGAAGACTTCTCTGGATTATGGATGGTATGCACCGACGATTCATACAGTGCCGACGTCTTATTATCCCCGAAACAATTCTTTCAGTGCCGAGCTTAATCGTGCAGGAATGTACAGGAATTGTTCTCTCAATACAGAACTCGATAAGCAGCTGTTCTAAATTTTGTTATTTTGTAATTTGATATACTTTTAATATAATCATTATTATTATGTAGCACGTGATTTGAATATTGATCAATACTCTCATTTTTTTATGTATACTATGCTATTCTCTCTTCTATTTTGCTTTTATAGAAATTATTAATATATGTAGTTATTTTTTTAGAGACAGATTGAAAATAAAAATTAAAGATACTGATAATATTTAAAATTTATCTTTATTTGTAAATTCTTTAAACTTCAAGATTTTAGGTGTTTTATACGTTGATGAGGATGTCGAAATATATTGGGATATAAAAAAAAATAACAACGTATGCATGTGACGTTTATATATGTTTTTATTATTACAGTTCAGCTTACGTATTGCATTAAACATAATAATGTAACAGGTTCTACATCGGGGCATCTTTGAAGTATACAACGCCCCGTCTATCTAATGCATATTATGTATATCTCGCTTGTTATCATTGCTGCAGAGTAATTATTAATGATTAATATATCATTTCGTTTCCTTTTTATTTTATTATCGATGCGATTTATCTATACGTATCGCCTAATAATCATTAATTGGAAAAGAAACATTGCGCGTACACAGTGTTATGACGATTACACATTAATATTTATAACTTCGCAGTTAAAACACCTCAATACTCGTATTAATTACTATATTTCACATTAATGTGGTAATATATTAATAATGGTAACTCCAATGGCAACGTAACGTATATAATATATATTATGTATATTTAACATAATGGACATTTATAGTCGCAATCTATTGTTTTAACACATTTAAGAATAAGATTTATCATAACAACCATAATGACTAGGAAACATTGGAAATGTTTTATAATCTATTATGGCAATAGGAATGATGAGAGATGAGTAATGACTGATACATTCATCTTTTTTTTCCTTTTTTGTTATTCAGAAAACTGCGACACGTTAGTTGATATTATTCTATTGATATTTCTATCTGGTTAATTACGAGTCACATCAAAATGTTGAACATTCCAAAAACCTATTATTATTACATCTATGAACGATACGGATAAAATGTTAAAAACATCAGAAATCTCATCAAAGTTTTTGTCCATACTTGTATCATTAAATCGTTGTTCTTGAAAAAATTTTACATATGGGAGTTAAATAAAAATTATCGCGATGGATTACCATTTTACGATTAAGATTAATAATCGAAAAATCTTAATCGATATTACGTTTCACTTTGACGACATGAATTTCTTGTACACGTTTACTGCATATAAAATACCGATACAAAAATTTTACAAATAGGCGCATATACGAATAGAGAGTCAAATGCATTTCAAAATTCAAAATTAATTTGATAATTTTACCCGATTGAACTTCGATATTTATCGGATATTTTGCATCAATTTGCCATTTTTATAATAGCATACATTAGGCAAAAAACAGCATACTTCGATTGAGGTATCGTCTCGCCCCGAAAATGATCTACTCTCTACTTCTACATCTCATTTCGTGAACTATTGCGAAGAAGATCTCGACGATCATTGAACATTGATCACGTGATGCTCGCTGCTTATCATGCTCGATGCTCTCGCTAAGAGCGGCTTAAATTGATCAATTTTTCAAACGAATAGAATTTTCAAATTTTTATCGACGCAACTATATTCAGGTTTTGCTCTCACACTATCAAGATATTGCAAGATCTCAAGATATATTCGTAAGTGATATTTTCATGATCAAACTTTCATTAAGCACGATCACAACGAGCATCTGGACGTGTGTCTAATGATTAACATTGCATACCACAGGAATAATTACATATTTGTATTTATGTATGCGTTTGCATTTATATATTATATATTATATATATTTATCTTCATATTTATATATATTTATATATATATATATTATTTATATACTCTTTATATATTTTTATACACGTTCTCGTTAATATTGTACTACATTTCTTCGCATACTTCGCTAGAGGCTATAAATTTATAACATTACATTTGACTCGTTTTAGCCTTGGAGCTTTACCAAACTCTGATAATCCTTAGTAATTAACGATGACAGATAGAACTCGCATTTTATGTGTGTGATCTAATTTCTCCCTCATCGCATTTATTCCGTTACTTACTTATACAGATTTTCATCGTATGATTAGTGATAACTTTAGCACACGCTTATCTACGCGTGCACGGCATGCTATAGGATATTGTTTTATATAGTCATCCTTCGATTTCTTTCTTTCCATTCGCTTTCACCCGTTTCCACCGTTCAGGACACGTATCCGCTCTGTTGCTTCGTTGTCCTCTCAGTGAACTACTAAAAATACGTTAATGTCAATGTTCATTGATAAAAAGAAGCGAACCGTGTCGTTCGCGATTCTATCGACTGCGCTCTTACCGATCTGCTTCCTTTTCGATCTTACTCTTGATAAGGGAGCCGATCTCGTCATCTTTTTTATTTCAAATTATGAAAATAATGTTTAATCTATTTTATACCAAAAGAATTACGTAATCTCTACTTTGGATATATTATATAAGCGGAATAATCATATAACCTAGCAATTTAACAAAATAAAAATTATATAAATATTATTTTTACTTTGTTAAATTACTAGATCGATTTTCCAGACAATTAAACTTAATCTGTTACGTTTTATAAAAAATAATTGCAAATTGCAATAAATTATACGATACTAAACAATAATGACATTATTGAGTCTATTCTGAAACATTTCGAGTAACCAATATAACCACATTTCGTATATAGATATAAAAAAGATCATTATTTATTCAAATCATTCTCGAAATGCTACATTTAGCATCATTTTAATCATTTCGAAATTATCACAAAGCGTAACGAATTATATGCTCATCATTCATTATAACTTCACCATTTCTTTTTTTCGTGACAGTTGAATCACACTTCGCACGCGGTAATGTCAGAAGTCATCACCGCCGGTATTCAGCTTCGATTCAAGGTTCATCGAAACGTCGACCGCTGCGTGAATGTCAGCAATTCGAAAGTCACGGCGGTTTTCGAGCACGTGGCGGCCAACGAGACGATCCATGGACCTCGATTTAATCCTTTCTCCCACATGGGTGGTCTGTTCGTGAGCATCGAAGCGTCACGTTTCGATTCTCCTTTTCGCTCTTTGGGAGCATGATCAACGCGCTCAATAAGGATCATTCCGTTCGAGAAAGCGCGACGAGCACGGCCGCCCTTTCATCAACACTCGTCTGCTAATCTACGAATTGTTCT